GTTACCCCTCAGGTCCCTTTTAAATCTTTCCCCTGTCACCTTAAACCTCCAGGTTTGGATTGCCCTAAACTGGGAATTTGATTATTTACCTTAACTATGCCCCTCATGATTTTATGCACCTCAATGGTCACCCATCTGCCTCCAATGCTTCAGCTGATGCAGCCTCTCCCAGTCGCTCAAACCCCTTTTTGTTTTCGGGAATCCTGGGATGGGAGCAAGGCAAATGTTTATGGTCCTCATGTCTCTATATAACTTTGTCCTATGGTTTTTCTCTACCTCTGTGTGAATATCAGATGTTTGAATTGGAAAGTTTTTGAGGGTGATGGACCAAATTGTCGTAAATGGAAGATCAGCTTAGTAAACCGGGTTGGCATGGACGAGTTGGGCAGAAGGGCCTGGTTCTATGATTTTTTTACTGTATGGCATTGAGACAGAATTTCAAATTTGGAAAGCAAGAGAAGGATAAAGTTTTGCATTCTCCCCTGACATTTGTCACTAAATGCTCACCTTCTTTGCCCCTTATTACCGTTGTGTCTTTCGCTCTGTGATTATAACAGTTGATTGATGAGCCCCGACTGTGTGTTACATTCCAGAACGCTTTGCCGAGCCCGTACTGAGGGTGGAGCCGGCGGCTGAAGTATTTGAGGGGGTCCAGGTCACGTTGATGTGCATTGCTCAGACAGCGCGGCCCTCCATCCGGCTTCGCTACACATTTTACAGAGATGGCAGCGCCCTGGAGTCGGCGCCGGATGATGGCGGTGTGTACACCATCAACGCAGCGGCTGCAAACGTTTCTGGGAATTACGCCTGCGAAGCGATCGAGACAACTTACGGTCGGAGGAAGAGGAGTGACAATGTTCACCTTTCTGTTAAACGTAATTATCTCTCATTATTACACAGTCCCCAGCACAAATTAAAGGCCTTTCAACCCATTGAGTCAGAAACAACCACCTCACTCCTCTCTAATCCCCATTTCCCCAGCACTTGGTCCTGTAGCCTTGGCATCACGAGGGCACATCTAAATCCTTCTTCAGTGAGATCAGGGTTTCTGCCTCTCCCACCCTTACAGGCGGTGAGTTCCAGATCCTGTGAGTGAAAATGTTTTTCCTCACATCCCCTCCAAACCTCCTGCTCCTCATCTTTCATCTATACATCCACCACCTGGGTCATTGATCCCTCCACCAAAGGGGAAAAGTTTCTTCCTATCTACCCTATCTGTGCCCCTCATTATTTTATACATCTTAATCATGTCCCCCTCTCTCAATCTCCTCTGCTCTAAGGAAGACAACCCAGTCTGTTCAACTTCTCTCCATCACTGAAACTCTCCAGCCCCCAAGGCAGCCTCCGGGTAAATCTCCCTCTGTACCCTCTCCCACTGCTATCCCGTCCCTCTGATAATGTGGATTCCAGAACCGGACACAGTCCTCTTGCTGTGGTTGTACATATTCATTCCAAATGCAATCGCGGTCATCATCAAATCTGAGCTCGAACTGACGTGATGCTAAAAGCCTTGATTGGGAGTCTCCCGCGCTGACCTTGTCTCAGGATTTTCTTGCTCTCATTCTGATCACTGAGCTTCCCCAAGCCCAGACACTCTACAGCTGAAACGGAAACATATTCTTCTGCTTTCCAGAAGCGTTCGCTGTCCCGAAGCTGACCGTGCATCCTGAGGGACAGCTAGTTGATGGCCAACGGTTTAAACTGATGTGCTCGGTTGAGGAGAATCTTTCCGAAGCTTCCTTGCGGTACGGCTTTTACAGAAATGGGATCCCTCTCCAGTCTCCGTCCGACCACAGCGATTACCTCTCTGAGTCAGCTCGTCCGGCCGACGCGGATACTTACCATTGCGAAGTCACGGGCAGTAAAGTGCGGAAACACAGTAATCAGCTCCATTTGTCCATCAGGCGTGAGTACCGTTTATTATCCTTTCCTTTTCTTAATCTGTTAAAGATTCCGAATAGAGACAAATTATAATCACTTATGCACCTCACAACCATATATTGGAGACCGAGAGCCAAACAGCACAGGGTAATGGGTTAACCATTTAGGACTGAGATGAGGAGAAATGTCTTCACCCAGAGAGTGGGGAGTCTGTGAGATTCACTGCCGCAGAAAATTATGGAAATATATATAGTAGTAGGCCATTTGGCCCTTCCAGCCTGCTCCATCAGTTCAATGGGATCATGGCTGATCATCCAGCTCTGTCCCCTGATTCCCTGCATTTGCCCCTAAAAACTCAATCCAGCTCCTTCTTGTGGAGGTGCTGGTGTTAGCCTGGGATGGACAAGGTCAGAAGTCACATGACACCTGGTTGTAGGTTTATTTGAAATTGCAAGGTTTCGGAGCATAGCATCTGTTGCCTATCCTTAGTTGTCCCCT